GGAGGAGGAGGAGGAGGAGGAGGAGGCGGAGGAGGAGGAGGAGGAGGATGAGGTGATGAGATGAGCAAGCGGCCGAAAGCCAGTGCGGTCGAGCTATCGCTCGGCGTCGGAGGCTTCCGAAGCTTGGGAGGCCTCCTCGAAATCCCCGTCCAGGGGCTCTTCGGGCCCCTCCTCGGCCTCCTTGCGCAAACGGCGGAGCCCATCAGCGCGGATGGCTGGAAGGTCCCCCTCCAGGAGGCCAAAGGCCCTCAGCACCTCGGCTCGGGACGTCATCCCCCCCAAGGCACTCGCCCCCCGAAGCCCACCACCCCCCAAGACCTGAGCCGAGGCGCCAGGGGCAGAATCTACAGGGCCAAAAATCGAGGCCAGTCGCACACGAACAGCGTGCGGCACTCCCTCGGGGGGGTTCAAGGACAGGTCCTTCAGCCCTTCCTTGTCCGACGGGTACTTGCTCTCCTTAATCTTCGTGAGCTGCCGCCTCAAGCCCGAAGCCGCGCTCTCACGGAGGCACGGCCTGAGGAGAGCTTGAGTCGGCCGCTCCACGCTGAAAAAGGCACCGCCAGCAGAACAAAAAAATATGGCCTTGCCATCTTCATGGCCCGACCTCGCATTGACCGTCGCGTGCAGCATCGGGTGGCCGTTGCAAGAGAGGAGGAGGAGGAGGAGGAGGAGGAGGAGGAGGAGGAGGAGGAGGAGGAGGAGGAAGGAGGAGGAGGAGGAGGAGGAGGAGGGAGGAGGAGGAGGAGGAGGAGGAGGAGGAGGAGGAGGAGGAGAGGAGGACGAGGAGGAGGAGGAGGAGGAGGAGGAGGAGGAGGAGGAGGAGGAGGAGGAGGAGCAGGAGGAGGAGAGGAGGAGGAGGAGGATGGAGGAGGAGGGAGGGAGGAGGAGGAGGAGGAGGAGAGGAGGAGGAGGAGGAGGAGGAGAGGAGGAGGAGGAGGGGGGGAGGAGGGGGGAGGAGGGAGGAGGAGGAGGAGGAGGGCGGAGAGGAGGAGGAGGAGGAGGAGGAGGAGGAGGAGGAGGAGGAGGAGGAGGAGGAGGAGGAGGAGGAGGAGGAGGACGACCAGCGCTCAGACTGAATGGGGGTGGGTTCGGCCGTCCTGGGCATCAATCCGCATCCCCTCGGGCCCCTCGGAAGGGGCTTTCACGGCAAATGACAAGGACAGTCGGGGACAAGCGGGTTGCTCGTCTCGAAGCGATCCAGACTCACCGAGCCCCACTCGGATTACCCATCTCGAGGTCGGTGGGGTCTGTCGCCGCTAGCTCTTTCACCAGCTGGGCCAACGGGATCGGTGCTTTCAAAATTCTTTACGCTGCGCTTCGCTACGAATCCCATGCAAGAATCACACTGGGACTCGGCGGTCAGGTGGCCCCTGGCCCGCTCCTGGCCGAAGTCGGCCTCCACTGGTGACCGGAAGGGTTCAGTGGGGTCTCGCTACGCTGCAGGCCTCCACGGTGCAAGGACTTCGGCATGTGTGGCACTGTGCGCCCGTCGGCTGCTTTCTCCTGTAAGGACTCCGCTTTCGACATGTGCCACTGCTGTACAAACAAGAGGCACTGCCGTTTGCAATCCTATCTGTGACGAGGTTGCCCCTCTTCACTCCTGCGCTGACACGATGTTTCGCTGACGCGATGCATTTGTGTCACCTACGGCACGGACGTTGTCTGGGTGTGCCTGTCGGTCCTGTTCGTCTCTCACGGTGCCTCGTGCCGGCTCACACCGAGAGATTGGCCTGTGCGTGTTTATGGTCGCGCTGCCGCGCTATGTTGGCTGCGCTTCCTTGCTGGTCGCCACGGGGATCTCCACGCCACCGGGTTGGGAGTTTCGTTTCTGGCTCTCCTTCTGAGTGGCTGCCCGCGCGCCGCTTCGCTTCCCTCTCTCTTTTCTTGCTGCCCGGTCGCGGCCCGGCTAGTGTTCGGACGGCGTTCGACCTGCTTCGCGAGCCCGCAGACCCAAAGTATCCTCACCGGCTTTACGCCTCGGCCCTATGCGGTTCGACCCTTTGACGCCGCGCGGGTGCCCGCCTGCGGTCGCGATCAATAAAATACCCCCACCAGCCGCGGACAGGACGACAGGAGGCTTAACAGCCCCTCCGAACGCAGGGCCCCGCCCTCCCTCAGCGTCCCCACCTTGGGCCGGCCCCCGTTAGACACTGCGACACGTGCCGAGCGCGGCTGGGGCGAGAGGCCGGGGGTGTGCCCGCTTCCCCCCCCGCTCGCTACCCCCCCTCCCATGGCGGCAGTGCCTGGCACAGCGCGGCTTCGGCCCGGTGCCTGGCGCTTGCACCTTGCCGCCTCGGCGGCCCCGCGGGCCTTGGCGCTGCGCGGCTTCGGCCCGGCCCTTGGCACCGCGAAGCGGCAGCGCAACGTGTGCGGCTCCAGCCCATTCCCACGCGCTTGCCACTGCGGGGCAAGCGTCCTCCCTGCAGCACACTGGCACCCTGTCGGTCCTGGGCGGCATGCTACCGGCTTCGCCTGGCAGCCGCGCCTCAGACTGCGGCTC